GGTGAAACACCAGCAGACTGGAGAACGGAGGATGTAGTGCCCGTATTCAAGAAGAGAAGTAATATGTAGTGCTCTAATTATCTGGGCACTGTCAATTTGAGTCTCCAGAGTAAAGTCGACGCAAAGGTGCTGGAATGGAGATGCCGCGGAATAACTGAACTTAAAATACAAGAATGACAGTGTGGTTTAAGGTCTAGTCGAAGCACCTCTGATTAGAAATTTGTCTTATGCCATATTCTTAAGAAATTGTGGCAGGTTGCACAGCCAGCTTACATGTGCCTTGTAGACCTCGAGAAAGTCTGTGACCAGATCTCAGCAATAATCTATTGCGTTCCCGCGATCAAGTGGGATCAATGGCAAGTTGCTACGTGCCATCCAACCACCATATGCTGATTGCAGGTGCTGCGTCAGGAGAAAACGACATTAAGTCGAAGCCTTACAGCGTTGGTACTGGTCTCCGCCAAGGCTGCTTTTTGTTCTCTCTCTCCTGTTTGTGTTGTGCATGGATAGAATAGTCAGGCGCAGCCTAGGCGATCAGTGCATCACCGCGTGAGATGTCAAGACGAGAGAGCTGCTGTTTGAAGACGAAGTTGATTTGCTGGCATCTTCTGAAACTGATCTACGATGTTCTCTGGAAAGGCTCACATTTGAATACAACGTGGTCGGAAAGGCCCAGTGCTTTTTCGCGCGTCTGCTCGTTGCGGTCTGCAGATAAACGGAAAAGTAGTGTAAAAGGTGGAGAAGTTCAAGTACAATGGTGTTTACTGGTAATGGAAATTAAGAAGAAGAGATCGACGGGCGAATTGGAATGGCGAGTGACATTTTGCATGAGTTAACCTGAACCGCTGTGACTAAAGCAGAGTTGAGCTTGGCGACTAATATTTCAGTGTTAAAGTTTATCTTCATCTCGATCTCTCCACCTACGGTGATTTGTTGTGAGCCATGAGTAAGCAACCTCGGTCCGGAGTACAATCGTCTGAAATGGGCTTCCTGCAGCGAATGGCGGGCGTCTCTCGACATCTGCAGATACCTAGTGATTTTTTATGTATAGCCGTTGCTTCTCTAAGTTGATAGCTGCAACTATTTTGGCACGCTTTGCGATTGCCTCCAGAATGAAAGGCGATGGAGTACTCCTTTGCCCAACCGACAGGCGGAAGACCCCGGGGACAGCTGAGGTTTTCTTTGGGCGAATGTATTGAAGGAGTCTGTTTTAGACTGCAGTCGTATTCCATCGAAGCTCAAATGTTGGCCCAAGATCGAGAACGTTCGAAGTACCATCTGACGCATCTTTCTCCGCGACCCGAAAGAACAATTGGTCATGGAAATTGAATTAAATTGTCAGAATAAAACACAAGGGTAGAGGCATGATACGGATGATCAGACAGCAAACTGAGTGTATATCGATATAATTGGTCATATCAGAAACCTTCGCGCATAATATACGCGCATCACCCAATGTATTGCGTGACCTATTAACCTACACCTGTTTCACCTATGTACTTTTAATATGCTTGTAGTCGAAATGAAAAACTTTACAAATGAGAATCCACTCTTGAACAGAAATCTTTTTCTTCCTAGTAATATATTTATTGATTTTCCTTTGTGCTTTATGGCTCAGTTATCAGGCAACGAACTGAATCGCAGATATCACGCGCACGCATCATAGAATTTTAGATGATAAGATTCGAAACTTCTGGCAAGATCACACCGAAACACGTTGCCTTTGTTCCAGTGGTGTACAGTTCTCATAGTTGCCCGCCTTTCATTTGATTTACAGTAGTAAATGTTGGTGAATTTTTTATTCAAGGAAATTAGCTGTAAATAAACAGAATACACTCCACTTCGATTCGAACTAGTATCTCTGGTATTTTAGGTAGGAAAGTTTTCCTTTGAGCGAGGGCGCCTTTCGTACCCTGATTAGCGCTCTTCTTCTCAGTTTATATTAATTTTCCATAAATAACTTTGCTTTTGTTCTTATGAACTCCTGCAAATAAATGCTTATGTTAGGTCCTTTCGCTGAAATAAGGTCGAATGCCGATAAGTAAAGTGACCGAATGAGAATATTGGAACACGTTGCATATGGGCGAATTAAACATAAATTGAGCATGAAATATTGTGAATGAGCGATCCCAAAATATGCGGATGCTAAAGAGTGTGGAGATATAACGCATGCCTGATGATTATGATTTGACATGGGAAAAATCTGCTCAAATAAGTATGCTTGAAACCCTTAAAGTTTTAGCCTATAGAATTTCTTGTCAATACTTTCGATTGCCATAAGGTAAAATTGATGCCTTTTCGTTGTTTTTCTGCGTAATTCGCCGAACCGCTAGTTGTGACTCCATCTTTTGGTAGTTGAGTTATTCGTTGGAGTCATTGACTAGTATTGTTGGTCAAAAATCAAACACTAAATATACTCTGGATTTTTCATAATTTATATTAGCGCAATTCGGTTGATTATTGCTTCAATGATTCATTGTTTCCCTCTCAGTTTCATGCTTGTTTTGGTCTCACAATCTTTTTAATTTAATTTGTTTCTCTGAAATTTTGATGAGTTCAGGATTCTTTGCTACTTTTGTTTAAGTAGTGAATTTAAGTAGTGAATTTTTAACTTCTTATTGGCAACTTCCTATAGTTTCGAGAGAGATGCCTGCAATCAGCATAAATAAAAAAGTCAGACTTGCGACTTGCGTTCGACTTAGAAGAATTGCTTTTCTTACGATACAGCAACTCTCTCAGAGCAAAAGTGTTGAAAATATGCGAATACAGAATAGACTGATAACCGGACATGTTCTGTTTATGTCAACTTCAGAGTAATGACATTAATAGAGGCGCAAACCAACTGCTTGCAACATGCTACACTTAGATCTAAAGGAAACTCTTGAGAGTAGGCTTATTTTAGTACATTTACTGTTTTAGCAGAAAAATATTGATCATGCTTTGCGGTTAAATAATGTATAAGTTAGTTTTATTTTATTCATAACTAGAAAAATGATACTATTCTTAAGTGGCGAAACACGCTTACACATAATTGTGATATCATTAAATAATTTGAAAGATGCAAAAGAGACAAAAGGAAGAGTAAAGTGCTAAACTTGCAAATCAAAATTCAAAAACGGTAAGCGCATCAAATTCGCCTTTAACGCGGTGAAGCGCCGTCGCAGCAGCCGACCAATGCTTAACTTCTATTTTTTGTATTGGTGTGCGTGCGTATGTTGTAATGCCATGACAAGGATGAAGTGTTAGTCGTGACCAGTGTTTGAATAAAGAGGTGGAAGGCACGTCTGGTATCGATCTTTCCGGTCGGTGGTAGAAGAACGAGTTTTGCGTTTGGTGCGTTTGATCAAGTGAGGGAACCTCCACTTTAGGTAAGGAGTCATGTACGCTGTGATCGAAAAACATCTGGAAGTTATTGATGTAGTTTTAACGGTCAAAGGCTTCTTATTGGGGGACACTTCCTGAAAACTTTGGCAGACAGATGGATTGTTTCTCGTCGCAGACGCACAAACTTTGCGCTTCCGCTTCCAGGTTTTTCGACTTCGCCGCGGCTGGCTGTGCATTTAGCGAATGTTTATTCAGCGCCCCAAGTTCATGAGATGTTAATCTTCACTAATGTTCGTTTGTCCGTCGGTATGTCCGTCCCTTAGTTAAGAAGTGATAGCCGACAAACGCTCATTCGTGTGAGTTGCCATTCTGTTTCCTTATTGTACTTCTTTTACTTACTCTTGTATTCCTTTGATGTATATATGTGAATTTTTTGTCATCCTTCTGGTTCTGGGAAGGGTACTGTCACTCATAACCACATTCCGTTTCAAGCAGTGGTACAAAAATGTTTTAGAGGTAGATAGATCTTATTCTTTGTATAGTATTGATGTTGTTTCTACCCTTAGTCAGATCTGACGGTCGATTAAGCACTCACTGGTCACTCGGTTCCGGTTGCTCGTGTGAGGTCGAAAAACGAAGTTTTCGAACGCCCTAGGATCACGTTGCCGACTGAGAAAAAAACTGCTGCTCTT